TAGTGATTAATCACAAAAACAATATGTAATTATATATGTGTTTTCCGATGGTCTTAGGCGACCCCTGTGAAAGGGTCGTTCGACCCACAAATGAGTCGGGACCCACAGGTTGAGAACCGCTGGTCTAACGGGTGTCTTCAAATTTGTTGAATTTCTTAACTCGCCCAGCTCATTCCTGCCACAGGGCACTTTGCATTTGCCATCCCCTTGGCAGGAACTCTTTTCCCAGCACTTAGGTGGCCCGGTGTTCCATTGGAGCTGAGCCCCCTGGTCGGAGGAGGCGAGCATTGCAGAGGGGAGGAAGCCTGCTGGATGTGTGTGGTCACAGTGCTGTGCTGGAGCCCTGCTTCAGCATGGGAAACAACCTAGGGGCAGGGGGACACTATCAACAGGGAGGGGAGGGGAGGCCAGAGGAGGCCAAACGAGAAAGGGGGGAGGAAGGGAGGAGGGCCCCCACTTCGCTGTCAGGCAGGAGTCTGGGGTCTCAGGAGGAAGGTGGCAAAGCTTAGGGCCCCGTCCCTATCCTGGGAACTAGATGGGCCTCGTGGACAGTGGGTAGAACTGATCCCCACCTCCACTTTGTCATTGCTGTCATCTAAAACCCAGGTTAAGGCCCCGGTTGGTTTGGCTCAGTGGATAGAGCGTCAGCCTGTAGACTGAAGGGTCCCGGGTTCCATTCCCGTCAAGGGCACATGCCTGGGTTGTGGGCTCCATCCCCAGTAGGGGGCATGCAGGAGGCAGCCAATCAATGATTCTCTCTCATCATTGATGTTTCTATCTCTCTCTCCCTCTCCCTTCCTCTCTGAAATCAATAAAAATATATTTTAAAAAAATAAAATAAAAATAAAACCCAGGTTAAGCACTCAGTTGGCCAGCACGGAACCTTTGGGTTTCATACACAGTAATCCTGTCGCTGGCGGTACCATCAGACACGAAGATGGCAACATCAAACCGCACAGTCTCAGGTCACACGGCAACCAGCACTGCAAGGGAGGGAGGAGCAGAGGGCACAGCCTCTGGGGCCCTGCTCCTCTCTGAGCCAATTAGTTACCAGAGAAATACAATGTGCTGATTGGCTCACACTTGAGTCTCACTCACGAGGGTAAATACTAGGAAGAGCCCAAGAGATTGACCCAAGTGGGTCACTAAACTCAGAGGGAGCGTGTGCCCCGCAAGGAATCAGCAGGGACCCATTTTGACTGTTTTTGTGTTTTGTTTTGTTTTCAGAGAGGAAGGGAGAGGAGAGAGTGATAGAAACATCAATGATGAGAGAGAATCAGTGATCAGCTGCCTCTTGCATGCCCCTCACTGGGGATTGAGCCTGCAACCAGGGCACGTGCCCTGACTGGGACTCTAACCGTGACCTCCTGGTTTATAGGTCAGTGCTCAACCACTGAGCCACATTGGCTGGGCCAAATGCTTTTTTTTCCCTTTGCCTTGCCCCTCTCCCCTCGTCTGAAACCAAGCCCCTTCCTTATTTGCATGATTATTATTATCATGATTAGTTTTAATAATAACAGCTAACATTTATGCCGGACTTACTGTGTCAAGCACTTCACATTTACTGCTTGTTGTAATCTTTACGATTACTTGATTGCCATCACTATCCCCATTTTACAGATGAGAAAACTGAAGCTCAAAAGTGACAGAATTGGCTCGAGATCACACATCTAGGAAATAGCTGAGCCAGGATTTGAGCCCTGTAAGGCTTTTCTCTAATGCAGGGTTCCTCAAACTTTTTAAACAGGGGGCCAGTTCACTGTCCCTCAGACCGTTGGAGGGCCGGACTATAGTTTAAAAAAAAACTATGAACAAATTCTTATGCACACGGCACATATCTTATTTTGAAGTAAAAAAACAAAACGGGAACAAATACAATATTTGTATTTGCATGT